TGAAAACCTGTGGGTTGATAAGATCTGTGATTTGGTGAAAGATATCCTAGATGTGAAGGTTTGTTTGAAAAGTTTTCTTCATATCTGGGATGTGATGGGCGATTTTGAAAGGGCTTTTTGATGATGATGGTTTGAAACTTTCTGATGTGATGGTTTTTGAAAGTTCCTTGAATGATTAAAAGTAATATCTTGAAAGCGGTTTTCAAAAGGTTTTTGAAAAGATTTTGGTTTTTGTTTGGAAACCTGTTTATGAGGTATGACGTATGGTTTAACTGGTTTCTTTGGTTGTTTTTCAAAAATGTTTGGCTTGATTAGTGGGGTTTTGGTGACTTGAATGGATTTTTTGCTTGTTTGTTGTTTCTTGGAGTATTTTTGTCCCAGACTAGTTTTTCCAACAATTGATGAAGTCATTGTAGGAAAAGCAGTTGGTATAGAAGTACTACCATCCTCATAAGAGGAATTTTCTCCATTCAAAAAGTTTTTGAGTTTAGTGGTTCCATCGGTATGTTTGATTTGGTGAGTTAAAGAACTTGCAGAGTCTGTTTCAGAATTTACAACTCTTTTGAAAGACTTTTTGGAAACACTGAAAGCAGTATCATCTGGACTACAGTTGATAACTGTTTCTTCATCTGAATCTTCCTCATTAACAGATGTGAAAAGATTAGGTAGAGTAGATTCAGAGTTTTCACAATTCGTCATGTTTTCCTGTTTTGCTTGTTCAATTTCAAAGGATTCTCTTCCAATTCCTGGTCTATAATTCGTATCAATTTTGCCAGTTCCTAAGGTGTTTGCCTTGGTGAAAATATCATCACTTAGTTTTTGGCAACTTTGATAGAATCCATATTCCATATCAGTCTTTTATTCTCGGTTTCAAGAGAATTGATTTGTTTTAAAGAATCAGTCAATTTTCATTTAAAACATTGTATTTGTCAGTTGATTCTTGAAAGTCTTGTTTCAACTGAAGGATTTCCATTTCTAAAACATCTTTTATTTCAGAAGAAATGACTGACTGATTTTTTAGTTCCAAATCCCTTTTCTGAATTAGGGTCTGATTTAATTGTTCCAAGACGTGATTATAATCTTCTGATTTTCTTTCAACGTCTCTTTCCAATTTGCTTTTCGTTCTTGTTGATTCTCCAAATTTGAGTTGCAAGGTTTGTAACTCAGATTTGCAAATATCATAATTGACCATTGTGTCATGATATGTTTTGAGATCAACTTCCAGACTAGTCTCAATTTTGGTTATGTGGGACTCAAAAATCGTTTTGGAAAAACCAAGTTCAGAGATCATAGACCATACCTGTTCTATGACGTTTGGAGCTCTTGAAGGTATTTCAACACCAGCTACGAAGCAGAAGTTTGATTGTGTTGGTTCGTGTTCAGCTTCGTCATCAGAAGTTGGCCAGTATTCCACACTTGGTTCATGGATTGCCATCAATGCTCTTTGCTTTTCTTGGTTTCCAGTTTCTTCAATTCATCGGCTCTTTGAGCATAGTATGCTGAGTCTTTGATTTTGGTTTTGTTTTTGGCTCGACATTCTCTGGCATAGTGATTTGTTCCTTTGCAGTTGTGACAAATGATCACTTCTTCATCACTATCATCCTTTTGACTTTTAATCGGAAGTCTTTCAGGTGTTTGACTTTGGGTTTGTTGGGAAGGTTGAGAATGGTTTTGTTGGAATCCAAAATTTTGGTTATTTTAAAAACCATTGTTTTGATTGTTGTAACCTTGATTTTGGAAACCTCTGTTTTGATTTTGAAAACTGTTGTTTGGATTGTGATTATGACCTGAGTTGGGATCGTTTTGAAATCCCTGGTTTTGAAAACCTTGGTTTGAGTTATTTTGGAAAGAAGGTCTTTGAGAATTTTGTCCAAAGTAAGGTCTAGGTTGAAAACCTGAGTTGTTTTGACCAAAAGATGGTCCTTGGTTGAAAACTTGAGTTATTTTGTCCAAAAGATGGTCTTGGTTGAAAATTTGGTCTAAAATTTGATTGACCATGATTTGGGATAAATCTCTGGAGATTTGTGTTTGCAACCAACGCACACAGTTGTTGATAATCTGCTTCATCATTTGAATCAGACTGGAAGGCTTGGTTTTGAAAAGATGTAGTCTGATTAAAATGATTAAAGTTTTGATCATTGAAAGGTGTTTGGTTTTGAGAAGTTGTGGACACAAGTGCAAGTGGTCCTCCAAAAGCTGCAGTGGTTGGTGGGTCAATCGAGGATTCATACGATTGAAGTTCTCCATACAAGTTGTACAAAGTTTCAGTATGAATAGCTGGATTTCCCTGAATAATGAGTTTAACCATTTTCCAGCTTTCGAAAAGATTGTTTAAAAACTTGAGATTTATCTCGTGTTGTGTCTTTTTGATATCCAAATTGTTCATTTTAACCATAATAAAATTGAACCTATCATGAGCATCATGGATGGTTTCTGATGAAAGCATTTTGAAATTATCAAATTCATTCAAAACAGATGTTCTTTTGTTTCCGATGATTCTTTTATTTCCACAAAAATGATTTTTCAAATTCTCCCAAATTTGATTTGCGGTTAACAGTATAATGTCATCCATTTGACTTAGAATACTGTGAGGTATTCCAGAAACAAGTTCCTTTTTGGCTTGGAGTTCCAACTTTTTTGTAATTTCAACTTGAGTGGCTTGATTTGTAGCAAGAGTAGCCATATTTTCTGGAGTAACATATGTTCCTTCTACACACTTCCAGACATCTTCATTTATAGCATTAAGATGAAGATTCATACGGCCAACCCACGAATTATACTCTTCAGGAATAAGTATGGGTGCCCGTGAACCAGATCCTAAGCTATTTGCAATGGAGACAGAGTTCATGTTGGAGTAATTTGCCAAAGACATTTTTTTTGAAAGGATTTTGAACAAGTGATATTAAAATGAAATTTTTAAAGAAAAGATTATGGAAGGTTTATAAACACTATAACCAAAAGTTTTTCGACAAAAATTTCAAGGTAAATCACACAAGCTCTGATACCAATTGTTGGATATTATTCCTTTTATATATCAGCTCAGATACCGATGGTTGGAAATATAAAAATCTGACCACTACAACAAAAGGCTCGGTTACCAGTTACTGTGTGATAGATATATAAGTTTAAGATATAAGATGTAAATATATATATAAAGAATAATAATTGCGGAATAAGTATAAATATAAAAGCTATAAATGACTGAAAGCTATAATAATATAAATGACTGTATTTAAATGACGTAAAGCTATAAATAATATAAAGGACTGTATTTAAATGACGTAAAGCTATAAATAATATAAATGACTATATTTAAATGACATAAAGCTATAATAAAGTATATAAGTATATAAATATATATCAAGTAAGTTCGTCAATAAATTGACTGAACTGGACTGATGGAATGACTGGTCGATATTTGTTATTTGAATGGACTAGTCGATATTAGGACTCTTGGAGCGACTGGTCGATATTTGTTCAATGATCAATCCGGCATTTGATAAGTAGTAAAAAGTTCATTTTCATGTAAATGGGTTGTTTACAAAACAGTGCAAAGTACACGAGTCATGTATTTGTATACGGGTATTGGGTGTTTTGAGGAGATTTGATGAGGTTGGAGTGGTTATTTGGAGGGTGGTAGGAAGTGTAATAATGTTGTAGTTTTGGTGGTGTAAGGTAGCAAAGATGGTGATATTGAAAGAGCTTTGGGTGGTGATGAATGTATATTTTCGTAGTAAATCTCTCTGGATAGCCAATTCTCTCTCACGTCTCTTTGGGGTTTCCCGTGGTCAAAATCGTCCACGAAAATTTCTAGATGTAGGTAAGGTGCTGAAGAATTGATGGTGAAAATCTCCCTAGTAGTATTTTGGCTGTGTTGTGCTCGGTTTTTGTTTTCTAACATGAAGATTCTGAACTTGAAAACATAAATCTCTCTGGATAGCCAATTCTCTCTCGCGTCTCTTTGGCGTTTCCCGTGGTCAAAATCGTCCACGAAAATTTCTAGATGTAGGTAAGGTCCTGAAGAATTGATGGTGAAAATCTCCCTAGTCTGTTTGTGCTTGTACCGAGCCCAGTTGTCTTCGTTTCTGACTTGAAGATTCTGATGTCGAAAAACAGCAAGTGGTGATGGTTGTGGTTATTTGAAAGGGGTTTTTTTGGAGGAGGTTTAAGGATGGTATTTGGAGGGTGTTAGGAGAGTATTTTGAGGTTTTTTGGAGGTTGGAATGAGGTTGATATAAGGTGGTGAAAGTTTATGAAGATGATGATGTTTGATGGGTTGAAGATGAACACCTTGAGTTTGAATGAAGAAGATGAAGATAGTTGATGATGTTCTTCATTTTTGGTTGTTGTTGATCTTGATGTTCTTGGTTATCTCCAGGGATGAAGATTGAGAGGGTGTGGTTTTACAAAGGAAAATTCACTATAACATATGAATCTCTCTTAGTCTCTTATATTCTCACTAACACTAAACACACACTACATACACATGTATATATATGAGAAACAAATATCTTGTAGTAGTACACTTGAGTGTAAGTTGAAAGATGCAAGTTGATGTAGAGCTAGGAGCAAAGAACGTGGGAAGGTTTTAGGCTTCTTCATCCTTGACTTTTCTTGACTTCCTCCTTTGTTTGACTTATTCAACACATATACATATCTATATATATAATACATATATATATAACACATACATATATATAATACATATATATACATACGTATATATATATATATATATATATATATATATATATATATTGGTGAAACTTTTTAGTCACACAGCTAATTTTCTCATCTATGCGCGTGCTTTCGTATTTTCCGTTTTATCACGCATTCATGCAACCTGAAATAACTGATAATATTTGTTAGATTGTATAAAAACAGTTCATCTTATTTCAGTTATGGTCACATACAAGGTTACATAAGAACATTTTTCAACAATGCAGATAAAGCACCAAGATTGAGATGCAAGTTGGAGATTTTTTTTATTTATGTTCATTTTATTTATCGAGCTCTGAAACTCTAAAGTCTAGAGTTCCAATCAAAACATCTTTTTCAATAAGTTTTTGATTTAAGATTCCGATCTCCTCCTTGAGCTTGAGCATCATCGGATCTTCTTTATCAGGGCTCCCTGCACCTATCAAGATTCCTTTGCCCCTGGGTGCATGGTCATCACCTTCACAAGCCAAATACATGGAAAGCCATTCATAGGCTACATCGTGCACAGCTTGAGGAGTCGATGAGCCACCAGGATCTGAAGAGCTCCTTGCTTCATAAGATGGGCGAACAATGTTGGGCTCCTCATGCATCATTTCGTTGTCAGAATGGGTTGGTTGGCTTGGGGTAACAGTTGCTGTAGATTGTTAAGTGGGCTGAACTAGTTCCCTAATGAGCATTCACGACCTTGGATCTGCTCTTCTTCTTCTAAGTGGAGGTTGGGAGGCTTGTGACTCTTGTGGATTATTCTCATATGGAATAAAAGTTTGAGTAGCAACTGCTTAGGGAGGAATCCTCACAATTGAAACCAAATCAGCAATAAAGTATCCATATGATCGGGTGATTGTTGTGGCAGCTTGAGAATATTTTCTTCTCCCTGAGTCTTCATTGGAGAAAATCCAACATCATCGACATTATCAAATACCAGTATAAAATATGGGATTTTCTAGGAACCAACGAACAAAAACAAACCATTTCAATTTAGTTCATACAACATTTTCATTTAATACTAATGGAACTCACCAACTTAAATGTTGATCTACTCTTTCAAAACAACTTGTATGTCCCAGGGACTCAGTAATTGCAGGTACCAAACAACTTTTTGAAGAAGGAACGTTGCGGTGCCAGTTTAAATTCATATTTTTGGCATCATATTGTAATTGGTTTTGAACATGTACCTGTTAACAATGTAAACTTTCAATTATATATATGCTGATTGTATTGCTTTCTTTACTATGTATTCATTTCTTACGTTACCACATAAAGTCATCCGCCCCCGAACGTTTCTGCCGTTCCGGTTTGGGGGTGTGATAGTTTTTCTCTTTTAAAATTCAAAAATATTGAAAAGATTTTCTTATTTTTTGTTATTTTCTTTCAAAACTCCAAAATCCAAAAATATTTTTGTTTTGTGTATATTTTCTTTTGTAGATTTTATCGAAGATTTTTGGTTGTTCATGCTTTCTGCTTGAGGGAAATGTATATTGTCGAAACTTTATCCTAGTTAGGATGTCCCTAGAAGCATGTTGCAGCATGTCGACTCAAGCCTCCATGACTCAATGTGTTTTCGAAAGCCTTAATGGACTTTTCATCATGAAATATTCCTTCCCAATCATGTTGTATTCAAATTAGTCTCTGATTACCTTAATCTTCTCATATAAGTTAAGAGTTCACTGCTTGGTCCAATCATAGGAGAGGTACATTCGATTCTTGAACTAAAAATTTTCATCCTAAAGTTCTTTCTTGGTCACACACAAAGGCATATACCTAAGACATTCTGGTTAGAACCAACCAGGTTATACGTATGTAAACAGTCTATGTTAATGATCTGGATTCATGAAACTGTGATGAAAGTTAAACGCAAAATTTCAAACCATTAATGGAATTGATGGGGAACTTTGCTCCAAATTATAACGAAACTTTTGTTTCAATACCACTTTTCGATATTCCAAATCATATTCTTTATTTTTGTGTGGTCTTGCTAAAATGTTCGAAACCCATGACATTTTTACCCAACAAGATCCAGACATACTTTTGTTTTGTGGAATATGATTTTTGTGTGAGTATCTATCTGATTTTTCATTGCTTCATATATTTTTCTAATACATACTTGTCCCTGACTACACTGGTCAAACAGGAAATTTCGTTTACAATATATCGCTCTTATGTTTAGATGTGATATGTTACAAAATTTTTAGCCAACCCATGAAGACTTATCAAAAGATGCCATTTGATACTTCTCTATAAGTATTTTATAGTAATTCACGGGAAACCACACAAGCTGTTAGTCATCTCTCTTGATGAATAACGAAGCGATCTTTACCTGGGATCTTACTGTTTTATGTCAAAATATTTTTTACATCACAAGATCCAAAATTTCTTATATTTCTTCTTATCTTTTTCTTTTGTACAATTTGCACTCACGAAATTCTTGAGGTTATGAGTAATACCAACTCAGGTTGATGATTTCCAAAGTCTGGAAAATGACTTCACTTTTAAGCCCAAAAGTGAAAGAGCCTAACCTCCATTCCGAAGTTTTATGACGATTCTTATCCTCTTGGTACTATCGAACAGACTGATCGATGTGATGTTCTGGTTACTATGCAGTTTTCAAGGAAAAGTGATCATCACTTAATCAAACGTGGCTATCTTTATGGTTTACCTCCATTTTTTAAAGTGACACGTAGCTTATCATTTAATGTGAAAACCATTTGAAATTCAAAATTAGTGTATGTATAATAAGGGGTTTTGGGGATTCTATTCCAACTTTATACACACTTAATATTTCCAAACGATTTGTGTTCTTCTCTATCTGTAAATCTTCAAGTTCTTCAAAACCCTAACAATGGCGGCCAAGCAATCTCAAACCACTGAAGATGTTTCACCCCAACCAATCATGAAGATCCAGAGTACTAACTACCTAGTTCTTGGAGATGTTGATTCTTATCCAGAAGGTTTATAAATGCTCATTGTTGCTCTCAATAATTGTTTGCTATCAACTGCTACGTTCAAATCGTTTTCAGTACCACTCTCTTGGTTATCACTTGCTCGTTCCATGGCCACTTACAGCAAGACAATGAAGATCGTGACTTTTCAATTGGTGAATGACAAGAAATTCAAGTTATCCAAGGAAACGTTTTGCTCAAATTCTAAACATCCCAAATGTTGAACCTTTCTACAAGGTCACGCCTGAGCAAGTCATTCATATGTTTAATAATATGGGTTATCAACCTATTCTTACCAAATTTAGTGATTTTAAGAAACCTGGATTGCATTGTATTTGGAACTTCTTGTTTGGAATATACCTTTGTTGTCTGACTAGTCAAAGTGTAGGGTTAGATAAAGCTCGCTTAGAAGTGTATGCTATGGTAGCAGGGATCTAGTAAGATTTACAGGTGGACTATGCCACTCAAATCTAGAATGAGCTTGTCAAGAGTATTGGCAATACGAATGTTGTAGATGGGATTTCTTGTACTGGATACTGGAGTCTGCTTTTACAGTTTTTTTATGAGAAAGAAGGGATTATGTTTCCTGAAGGCAAAGAAACTGCATAATTCTCAACTTATCACTATCCCAAAACTGTCGAAGACATTCAAGATGTGTTTCCTTCCATTGCTCATATCCCAGATGCGATTCTTAGTAAAGTTGATCCCGCTAATCCAATTTTGGTAGCCTGTTTGTAGACTATCAATTTATCTATTCAAACTGATATGTTATTGAAAAACTCTGAAGAAGGTCCTTCAAAGAAACGCTGAGGATCGAAGAAGGATGATCAACCTAGTCCTGTGAAACCAAGTCCTTTGAAAGCAAGTCTAATACAAGTTGATAAATTGGTGAAGTCTCCAAAGAACGTTGTTAAAGGAGAAAAACTTTCAAAAACAAGTCAAAGCCCTAATGTTGAAGAAACTGCCATTCCTTTGAAGGAGTTAGTTCCTACAAAGTCTGGTGTCTTAGAAAGATTGAAGAAAATGGCTCATAAACCACACATTCACATTAAAAATCATCAAGCTTTTCTCCATCTTACATTCGCAAGCCTCAACTTAATAGTAAAGGGGTTGAGATTAGAGAAATACCAACACCAGTATCTCTAGCTTCAAAGAAAAGGTGTGCTGAAGATATGGCCAAACATGTTTCGAAGAAACAGGAGAAGCATAGGAAGTTGATTCTTAATGAAGATTCCATAGAAGATGAGGTTGTTCCTAAATCTCGAGTTGGACATGATAAAATGAGAAATTCTTTACCTGTGAGGGATTATCCAATCAAGTCGAATTTCTAGGAGATTGGAAATCTTAGTGGCAATGTGCAAACTTCTAAAGTGGACACAACCATCAATCAAGGTCAACAACTGAAAGACCCTGTATAGTGGTTTGGTCTAGGTATAGTAGTTAATAGCAGTAGGGGTGTGATTGTAATTGTTTTGTTTGTAGTTTACGGTCAGACTGAGTTTATGGCCGTAAACTCTGTACGGTCGTGATCATTTGTCTAGCCTATAAATAGGGGTTGTGTTAGTCATTATTGGTTGTTGATTTTTCATATTCTTCCGAGTTGTATCAGACGTTTTATAGCATTAAAGCGTATGCAAGCTCGGTATTTCGTTCTATACTTGCTTATTATTTCGTGTTTGCATCTGTGATTATCTTTTATCATTGGTAGATCTGTTTTCGGGACTTTACAATTGGTATCAGAGCTATACCAGTGTCAAAGGCGTTTCACAGCAGTATAGAGGGATTTATTCCAGTCGAAATCAAAGGTTCTCGAAGTTTGCGGCCTAAGTTTACGGCCGTAAACTCTTCTTCACGGCCACAAGTGCATTCCTCGAAAACGATTGTCATACACATCATTCAAGCTTTCATGATCACATATTGATTCTGGCATTTAGTTGAGTCGTTTTTAATATAAAAATCGAATTTTTTAATTAACTTTCATTGACCGTAAACTCGATCATTCACGAAAAATTGATTTTCTGTTAAACGATAATTACACCATTATTTTTTGGAGTTTAAATCAAAAGGTATAATTGGACCGTAAACTCGAGTTTACGGCCTACGAGTTTACGGCCTAGGGTTTACGGCTAAATCAGTTAATTTAAAATAGTTGAAATTACTTCTTGAATTTAAAATCAAAATATTTTTAAATATAAATCTTGACCGTAAACTCCAGTTTACGGTGTAAAAACAGTTTACGTCCGTAAAGATAGTTTACGGCCTTGTGTTTAAGGCCAAGAAATTTCACAGTAAAATAAATTTACAACCTTAAAATTTACTACTAATAATTTTAAATGGATACACAAAATTCAACTCAATACCAAGAGCTTGATGCTGTGATGGGTACAACCACGCGCATTCCAAGACTTATGTCTGCTGATGGTTTCCCCGAGTGGAAATATAGAATTGAAAAGTATATAAAGATGAAGGACTTTAAGGTTTGGAAATGTGTTTTAAAGGATCCAGTCAGAATCACCACTGTAATTAGGGGCAATGTGGTCGACAAGAAAATCGAAAACTACACTGATGAAGACTTTGAGAGCATAGAAGAACAAGAAAAGGCATTAGCCATTTTGACTATGGCCTTATCGCCAGACATTGCTCAAGGATTCAGA